CCTAGGATTCTTTGTGATATCAATATTAAAAATCTCTAATTGATATCGTAATTGAATCCTCTCTTTCTCCGTAAAATCTTCAGTATAGTACTTCTCAACAAGAAGAAAATTTTGATCAACGTTAATCACTTTAGAAACTAAAGTAAAATTAAGGGTCTGTTTGGTACGAAGGAATGAAATGACGACGGAATGGAATGGACGAAGTAATGGAATAGACAAAATAATGGAATGGATCATTACCATTCCATTGTCATGTTTGGTTGCTCTGTAATAATGAAATTAGTCATTAATCAATGTTGTTTGGTATGTAGGATTTGATCAATCAATGGAATGAATTTAATTAAAAATGAAAAAAAGTACTCCCACTGTACTTTTTTTTTGCTTGGCTTAAATCGAAATCTGCTGTTAAATAATACACAGATGACAGAAATAAAAAAAAATCTACTTAATTTATAATCTGGTAGTAAATAACATAGTGATAGAGACAAAATTTTTCTCTACATTCTTGGTCTGCTTCCAAATAACACAATAATGGACACTCAACGTTATTGGCCTTTAAACACATATTATTTTCATCTTAATTGATAATTATCTGCTTAGAATATGGTACAACATCCATCATATTTTGTTTTATTGTGTATGGATTGAAGTAAAAAAACAAATATAAAAAAATGAAGGTTTTCTTTCTTTCTATTTAAACTTGTAACTTTTTAAGTAAAAGGAGAATTGGTACTTGCAGGTATTTATAATCAATCAACATTACTTAGCTTAGGTCACATGTTTTGCGTAGGTGTGCTGTAAAAGCAGAGGAACTCAATTGCAAGATTTTATAATTAAAAAAGACAAACATAAAAATCAAGCAACAACTCAAAAAACTAGTGGAAACAATAGCTCAAAAATCGAATAGAAACAAAGAAAAATAAATGGAGCACTAATGAGATGTTAAATGATGATACGTTGAACAATGGAAATTGAAAAAATGAAGAGCGCTTTGATGTTGTAATATTGATCGATTCAAGCACTAGGATTTATAGATCTTTGCGATATGTTGATTTCCATTCGATCATAATGCGTTTAACTGGGTTGCAAGATGGAGACGATGGAGATTTAGTAACGCGATAACAAGGAAGATGATGTGGGCTTTTGGTTGTTCCATAATTGTGGTCGGATGAAATTATGACCTTGAAATTTCAGTTTCTGATAACAACTTCAACAATCAATTTTGAAAAAAGAACTTCTATGGAGATGATTGGTAGCCGGAAAATCGATTGGTGTAGTTTGATTTGTTATATAAACCATTCGAAGTCGCTGACTTGTGAAAAAAAAATCGATTATGTTATTGATAAGTTGGAGAGGATGTGATTATCTACTGTGATTTTCATGAGGATAGAGGGTAAAATTGGAACTTGTTATTCATGGTAGGAATGGAATGAATTCAAAACATGGTGGGAGCCAATAATGAAATGGACGCCTTTTGAGGGAATGGGATTCCATTTGGAATGCTTCTTTCCTTTCCTCAAAGCTACCAAACGTGGACAAAGTCATTCTCCCTCAATGCATCATTCCTTTCCTTAGCTCATTCATGCATACCAAACACCCCCTAAGACTTATAATTGAATCTATTATTCAAATCATGTAATTGTTTGTCCAATGTGGCTATAAACAAATCCACTCGATAAAAATGTTCAAAAGTAACATAATTATCTGTTTTTCGAGGCCGGTATCGAGTAGAAGTATATGGAGCATTCATATATGGCATATTTATTTGACATTTTTCACAAAAACTTTACTTGTGAAAGTAAAGACTCCCATTCCTTGTTTCTGAAATCATTTAGACCCTCCTTTGTTGCTGAAACTAACTCCATGGCATTAAGAATATCTTGGGATTTCTTTTGTAGAGCTTGAGAAAGTATATCAGTTTTTCCCATTACTTCCTTTATCAGGTGAAGAATAAACACAAACTCAAATGATTTCAGATAACAGTAAGTTGCATCAGCATCTCCGCGTTGAGAATAAGTAGCAGATACGTCATCAATTATACATTGGAGAACAACACGAGTACAAGCAAACATGTTAAATAAACTGCAAACGGAACGAAAATGAGAACCCCAACGTGTATCACCAGCTCTTCTTAATGTCCCAACTTGATTCAATCCTTTACCTGATTCGATTTTACCTAGTTCGAATAATTGTTCAATCTTAGTTGCCTTTGCCTTTTGTAACTCATCATGACGCTTACTGGAAGCACAAACTACGTTAATTGTAAAAATTAAGTTTGTGAAAAATTGGCGTACCAGAATAATTTCCCTTGAAGCAGCCACCAAGGCTAGTTGGAATATGTGAGCAAAGAAGTGAGCATAATATGCATAAGGACAATCCTCAAGAACAAGTGCTTGTAATCCGTTTGATTCCTCTCTTATATTACTAGCACCATCATAACCTTGGCCACAGATTTTACTAACATCAAATTGATAGTGTAAAAGTTGTCTCCACATATTTGTTTTCATGGTTAATGATAAGGTATCCCTAACATGAACCAAATCCAAGAACCTTTCCAGTATGATTCCTTCCGCATCAACAAATCTCAAAACTATCGCCATTTGCTCTTTTTAGACTCATCCCGTGACTCATCAACCATGACACAAAAGTATGAATCTCCCACTTCACTACGAATATGCTTTCGAACTTTATTTGCAATAATACTAAGAATTTCTTTTTGAATTTCCCCAGAAGTATACTTTGAATTATAAGGAGCTTTCTCTAATATAACGTTTGCAACTTCATCATTATACGATGGTAGAAGTTTTAGTAGTTGGAGAAAATTACCACGATTTTTGGAATCAGGAGTTTCATCATGTCCTCGTAAAGCACAAGCTTGGAAGGTCAACCAACGAACTGTGTCAATTGACACTTTTAATCGTAAATGGTTCTTCAATATTTGCGCTTCATTTTGCTTCACTATGATATTTTCAATGTGTGCTGCTTGGTTCATCTAGTTTTCAGCGAATGCAACAACATTTCTATGTTGTGAGTAACCAATATGTTTCAAGAACGTACAATTTTTCCCAGTCATTATCTTTTTTCAATTGTCAAATCCTTTAACAGTAAATGCATTGTAACCATGACACACACTTGGTTTATCATTAAATATATAACAAATAAAAACAATAAGAAGTGTGTGTTGTTGGAGAATACTCTAGCCAATTAGGGAAAATGTTGAACCAAGAATATTGGAATCTACGAGGATGTTTCGTTGAACCTTTAGCTTGATACTCCTTAAGACGTATTTGGAAAGGTCCTAAATTCATATAAGCTCGTCACACTTGTTCCCTTAAATTAACCGGATAATCCCACATTTGCTTTTGTTTAGCGGGATCTCTTTCTAGATTCTTCAAATCAACTTCATTAAGATTTTCATTTTGTTGTAGTTGTGGCTCATTCTCTTGTTGATTATCCTTTTCTTGCGGTTGTGGCTCATTCTCTTGTTGATTATCCGTTTCTTGCGGTTGTGGCTCACTTGTTGAAGCTTTGTGACGTTTACTCTCTTCACTTTCATGATTAGTTTGTTTATCATCTACCTTTCTTTTGTAAAAACAGTCTAAGGTTTTCATTTTTCCCATGATTATATCTATAAAAACCAAAATGAAGGAACAATTGATTTAATCAAAATCAAAATTAGAACAATAACCAATAACTCATTTAACAATTAACAGTGTGTGAAAACTGAAAAGTGAAAAAAGTGAACTAAAATCAAAAGTGATAAAGTGAAAACATAAATCAAAAATCAAAACAATAACCAAATCAATCTTTGTTTTCAGTTTTGTTTGAAGCATAACCAAATCAATTTTTTTTCTATTCATGTTTGGTGTCCTACAGCTTACAATAAATCATAACCGAAAGAAGACTAAAAGAGCTAAACAAATCATAACTGATAAATCAAATTGACAAATGACAACCAAGTTAAAAAAGAAACTCTAATTCCTAATTTGGAGTTTGGACCGAGAGAAAAGAGATCGAGAGAAACTCGCAAACAGCAGCAACAGTGCAGCACAACATTCAACAACCAGAACAAAGAACAAGAGAACTAGAAAAGAAAGAACAGGATTCAGGATTCCATACCTGATTCTGGTGAATGGCGACTTGGCGATGGCGAGAGTGAGACTAGGCGAGTGAGGCGACAGCGACAGCGACAGCAGGCAGCAGCGAATGGCGAAGAACCAATTTTGATTTCTTGACTGTTTGTTTGGAGAATTCGGACTATGATTGAAGTCTTATGAGGAATCGGGAAGGGCCAAAGCCCAAGTTTGAAAATAACAGGCCTATGACTAATTTTTTTGAACTATAATTTCTACTTCTAGCCCAAAAATCAGGGGGCCACTGCCCCTCCTGGCCCCATAGATACTACGCCCCTGACCAAATGAATCAAATCCACAATTTTCAAAGTACCATTTTTTAAAATTTCTCTAGAAAAATAAGTTATTTTGTTACCTTCCCAAAACTTTCTGTCTATCCGCAACATTTGGGTTTGGTTGGATTTTATTTTCTTTTATTTTTCTCGTTGAATCCTTTCTCGGCTTTTTCCGCATACTCATTTCCCCCAAACGCGATCCTCGTTTCATATCCCCTGCCCTATCGTCTCGCCGGGAAATCCTTTCGCTCGATTCACGTTACCCAGTTTCAAACTTTTCGATTAATCAGAACATCAGGAATCAGCAAAAAGAGGTGAGTTTCTGTTATCCGATTATAGAAACTGCTTTTTGGGAGTAAGATTCCAGGTTCAGTATTTAGATCTAAAGATCTTGACTTCGGACTTCGGGTGTTCAGTTTAGTGGTTTTAAAGTTTTTTCTCTGCTCGATTGTGGGGGTTTTTATTCTCTACGCAGTCATACTGTTCGATTTCTTCTTCTCAGTTATTGGATTTCTCTCATCAGTAGTTAATTTCTATTGAGAATTCGACGATACAAATTGTTTGAAACCGAAGCGCAGATCTTTGCAACACAATGGAAGAAGATAATGGTGAAACCCTCAACACCAACACCATCACTCCTGCAGATCTACAACCGGCCTCCATTTCAACCCCTGATCATCCACTCAACAATGCTTTTGGCTCACTGAACGACATCTGCTATGAACTCTCCTCCCTTCAAGATCTCGCTTGTCGTGGCTCATGGAAAACAATCCTTGACAAAGTTGCTCGAGCACGCACACAGTCTCTTCTTTCCAAACCTCACGAACACTTAATCTATCTCTCATATAACACCATAGCTCTCACAAAACTCCGTCGTTTCTCTGATGCAGTCACTGAACTCGATTCCCTTGAAAATGGCATAGACAACGTGATCTACACTTACGAAAATTACCCTCATCATTACCCTAACCGATATGGCTCCATGGCCCCCTTTTCCCTCCGGTGGTTGTACGCTGAACTCCCTTCAAGAGTAGGCAATCGTCAAGAAACCCTAGATCGATTCTACATCCTACTGCATTTTGTTAGAGAGAAAACCAAAACCACAAAAGATTCATCAGGTATGTCAGATGATATATGGAAGAAACGTGAAGGGTTGGTGATTAATTCGATTATAAGTCATCATTTGAGTCATAAAGAATTTGGTGTATGTTTGGATTTGATCAAAGATCTGATCAAACGTGATTCAAATTCAACTGCTAGAGCAGTATTGATATCAAAACTAGGTTACATCCAAATGCAATTAGGCGATTTGGAAGGAGCAAAGGGTAGTTTTGGTAGTGTTGAGGGGATTTCGACTGAAGAAACAGTTGAAATGAAGAATCTTGTGAACAGGAACAAGGCATTGATGTTTATGGTTGGGAAAGATTATGTGTCTGCTGTAAGGGAATACCAGGAGTGCATTGATAGAGATGATTCAGATGTTGTTGCGATTAATAACAAGGCACTTTGTTTGATGTATTTGAGGGATTTATCAGATTCTATTAAAGTGTTAGAAAGTGCATTGGAAAGGGTTCCAACTGCTGCTTTAAACGAGACTTTTGTGGTGAATTTGTGTAGTATGTATGAGTTGGCTTATGTTAATCACACGGATATCAAGAAGACTCTTAGTAATTGGATTGCTCGTGTGGCGCCTGATGATTTTGATAGTTCATCTACTCGTGTATGAGCTATGAGGTAATTTCATGTTCTTTTGATCTTGTTTTATGTTGTGTTAATTGTGTAGGATTTATGCTATGGCATTGGTTATGTGGTTAGACTATAAAATCTTTTGTGGTTAACTGGTTGATGACATCAATTTTGATGTTGAAATGAAACATGGACTAACACTAATTCATGTTTCTTGATACATGTAATCATTTGTAGGTGTAATTTGATAATGAATTGACATGTAATTGATACCTAACACAATGGAGACTTAGAGATTTAATAAATTGATGAAGAGGTTGAGATTGGTTTATATTGAAAATAATTTAGTTAAAAAAAAGAAAAAGAAAATAGCCGGTTAAATAGGGTCAAGAAAAATTGAGAGAAGGTTAGTTGAGAAACTATTACACTATACGTATTGATGATCATTTGTATCTAGCAAACGCAAAAATCAACTTAATGTTGGATATCTTTGTATTATTGAATTTCAACATTTAAATTAAATTCAAGTAGGCAATATATATCTATAAACAAACTTAATTGTGTTATTTACTTCAGACAAAATTTCATAATTGGTCCTTGTGGTTTGTAAAATATTGTACTTTGAGGACTTCTATGAAAAACGTTGTGCCACAAGTCTTTATGTTTTGAAAATTGCATGAATGGTCCTTTTGGCGTTGAATTTAACTTTCGACTAGTTACTTTTTTTAATCGAGCAAAATGCCCTTGGACCAAATCTGAAAATTGCGTATACCTAACCGATTAATTCTGAAAATTTGAAAATTTGTGTTTGTATGTGTGTGTGTGTATATATATATATATATATATATATATATATATATATATATATATATATATATATAGAGAGAGAGAGAGAGAGAGAGAGAGAGGTAAGCTCAATTGAGAAAATAAAAAAGGTTGAAAATGGGGGAATCATTGTCAGCCACTCATTTATTTTTGCCGCAAAAGCCTCCGTTGTACCAGCGGAAATAGATAAGGAATACACATGTGTTTCCAACAAAACATGTTTCCTTAAACTATGCTAATCATTACCTTAATAAATGAAAAAACATAGTTTTTTTTTTTCGTTTTTTTAATTTTTAAGAAGCTATTTTTAGCGAAAAATGTTTTTAAATATACCAAAATTCATGATTTTTTATTCTATATAAATAGACATCCATATTGATATACTTTTAAGATAAAATAAAAAATTTATTTTTTTTATATTTTCAGCTATCGTTATTCATAAGTGAATAAAAATTCATTAAATTTTGTTACAGTATATTCATTATTCACTTATGAATAAAAATATATAATTAATTTTTTTTACAGTTTAAGTATCATTTATACTACTTATTCATATATGAATAACAAATTAACTGTAAAAAAAATCTGATAAGTGTTTTATTCATATATGAATATAAAATATGACGACAACAAATACACGTTTTATTCATATATAAATATAATATATGATGAAAGATGATGTAAAAAATATATTTTAAGTAAAAAACTTTATTATATGTCATATTCATATATGAACGATACTTAAACTATAAAAAAAAAGAGTTAAACATACGTTTTATTCATAAGTGAATATCGAATGTACTGTAATAAAAGATTTTTATTCACTTATGAATAACGAGAGCTGAAACTCTAAATTTTTTTTTTATTTTATCTTAAAACTATATCAATATGGATGTCTATTTATAGAGAATAAAAAATTATGAATTTTGATATATTTAAAATAATTTTTCGATACAAATGGCTTTCTAAAAATAAAAAAACAAAAAAAATATGTTTTTGTGTATATTAAGATAATGATTAGCATAGTTTAAGGAAACATGTTTGGTTGGAAAACACATGTTTATCCGTTATACATTTCCGACGGTACGTCTAAGTGTTTTGCGGCAAAATAAATGTGTGGCTGAGAATGATTCCCTAATTCTCAACCTTTTTTTTTTCTCAATTGAACTCTCCTTTATATATATAAGTTCAATTGAGAAAAAAAATGTTGAGAATGGGGGAATCATTCTCAGTCAGTCATTTATTTTTGCCGCAAAGCCTCCGTCGTACCAACGAAAATGGGAAATGAATATACATGTGTTTTCCAACAAAACATGTTTCCTTAAACTATGCTAATAATTACCTTAATATATATACAAACACATAGTTTTTTTTTTGTTTTTTTAATTATTAAGAATCTATTTTTATCGAAAAATGATTTTAAATATACCAAAATTCATGATTTTTTATTCTCTACAAATAAACATCCATATTGATATATTTTTATCTATCGTTATTCATAAGTAATTAAAATGCATCAGATTTTTAGTACAACACATTCCTTATTCGCTTATGAATAAAAAATATGAATAATTTTTTTTACAGATTAAGTATCATTCATATATACATATAACATATAATAAACTTTTTACATAATTTACATCAACTCTTGTCACATGTTATATACACATATGAATAAAACGTCATCATAAGTCATATTTATATACGAAGAACACATTTATTATGATTTTGTTACAGTTCATTTGTCATTCCCATATTAATAATTAGTTCAAATTTTCAATACACTTCATTTTTTTTAACATAATACTTATTTATATATGAATAACAAATGACCTTTAACAAAAATCTTAGAAATGTTTTATTAATATATGAATATAACATATGACGACAATTAATACACATTTTATTCATATATAAATATAGGGTGACAAATCGTGCTATCGTTTCGTGTTTCTGTCTGATACGACACGACACGACAATGTTTTATGTAACACGAACACGACACGATGTCGTATTTTTTTTAACTAACACGAAAACGAACGAATTAAGAAACGACAAACACGACACGACAAAGATAAAATAAATAAAAATTAGTTTATTTAATGAATACGGAATCATACATAACACGATAAAAACGACAAACACGAAAAACATGACAAGGAAATGCTAAATCGTGTCAATTTCGTGTCGAATTTTAAACACAAACACGACACGACACGACATCGTGTTTTTTACACTTAACACGAACACGAATTCAAAATTCATTTTCGTCCCAATTTCGTTTCGTGTCGAGTATTTTTGTCGTGTCGTGTTATAAATTGTCACCCCTATATAAATATTACATGTGACGAAAGATGATGTAAAAAAAATATTTTAGGGAAGAAAGCTTTATAACAACGTGTTATATTCATATATAAATGATACTTAAACTATAAAAAAGTTAAGCATGCGTTTTATTCATACGTGAATAACGAATGTACTGTAATAAAAATCTGATGCGTTTTTATTCACTTATAAATAACGATAACTGAAACTCAAAAAAAAAATTATTTTATTTTATTTTTAAAACTATATCAATATGGATGTCTATTTATAGAGAATAAAAAATTATAAATTTTGATATATTTAAAATAAATTTTCGATAAAAATAGCATTCTAAAAATAAAAAAAAAACAAAAAATATTCAAGGTAATGATTAACATACTTTAAGAAAACATGTTTGGTTGGAAAAAAACATGTGTATCCGTTATCCATTCCGCCGGTACGCCTAAGTGTTTTGCGACAAAATAAATGTGTGGCTAAGAATGATTCCCTCATTCTCAAATTTTTTTTTCTCAATTGAACCTCATATATATATAGTATATATATTATATCTATATATATATATATATATTATTATATATATATATATATATATCTATAATATGGAAAAGTGAAATATCTTACAGCCTCACCTAAGCTTAGGTACTAAACCTCATGAAAAGACGTTTTAATATATAAAGATTGTGGTTAGGAGATTCACGATTAACAATTGCAGATGTAGATTCAAGATCGACGCAATAGTTTTGATAAGGAAGCAAAAATATTGATTATCGTAGGTCTTCGTGACAGTGGAAAAGTAATGTTCAGTAGGGTGAAGTAATAAACGATAATGGATGAAAGAAAATAGGGATGATAAATCGATAATGGAGGAAAGAAATGTTATCGAGGATGATATATTTATCAAGTTAAAACCAAATCGGGTATATTAACTAATTTAAAACAATATATTTTATAGGTTTACTACCTAAGTTTAGGTGAGGCTGTAATGTATATTTTCCTATCCTAATATATCTATATATATATATATATATAATATATATATATCTATAATATATATATATATATATATATATATATATATATATACTAGTCGTTTACCCGCGCTAAGCGACGGGTGCGTATAATTTCATTTAGAAATTAGTTTTTAGAAACGATTAATTTATTTTCGCAAATGAGAGTGGGATGCAGTGGTGATGGTTATAATTTTCGTCCGTCGACTGTGATGTGATAAGAGAAAGCAAATGAGAGTGGGATGCAGTGGTGATGGTTATAATTTTCGTCCGTCGACTGTGATGTGATAAGAGAAAGTGAGAGTGACAATACACTATGACCATTTAAAGGATCTTTTTGGGTGGCTAGTATCCCCCTGCGGTTGAAACCATGTCGAACCTGAATTATTCTTTAGAACTACTAACTCGCACATGATTACCCTACATATAAATCTACATATTTTGTTCCAAGCGAAATTTAAACCATCAACCTCTAGTCTTGATATCAGTGGGTCACACGACCTTTGGGCGTGTTTTTTAATTTATTGATCACTGGGCAGTGATCAATTTCTTCTTGGAATATAGTTTGTGCTATTTTGCTATAAAATATACAAAGATAATCTTTTTATGAAGAATCACATTTTGAATATTTATTGAAGAATAACCGATTTTTCGTTGGAAATTACAAAATTACTTTATAAACGTCTACTTTTAAAATATCTTACGAAAAATTATTTTATTTATCTAAATAATAAGCTTCCTAGAAAACATATATTTGTGGTCGTTTTGTAATAGGAGAATATCAAGTGACCATTTAAGTAATTAACTCTAAAGTTGAAAAGTTTAGTTAAAAAATCAAAAAATAATAAGTTTAATTCTTTAAAAGCATGCAAAATATATAAGA